CGAGGCGAGGCCTGCCCACGGGGCGGAGCCAGCGCAGCGGCACTGGACGGGACGGGACGGAACGGGGCGACCTCCGCCTCCCCCCGGCCCCGCCTGGATGCGCACCTGGATCCGCGCCCGCGTCCGGATGTGTCCGCAGGGCCGGACCTGTAGGCCCTGGCGCGGCGCGGTCAGTGGACAGGGGGCAGCCGGGGCCGAGCAAGTCTCACCCGCTCGGGAGAGGCGTCCAGCTGTACAGCTCTCCCTCTGGCCAGATCCGTCTGACAGGGTCTAGCGAGATAGCGCTACAGCTGGACATCGACCGCGAGAGAGATCTGTATGTAGGCAGACAGATAGGACTGGCTAGATAGATAGGTAGATACACGTGAGCGCGTCTGGCTCGGGTCTTCCTACCATTGCTTGGGACGACAAAAAGGGCAAAATGGGAAGGGGAGCAGGAGGCAGGCGTTGGCACCAGAGACGCGGGCTTTCCAGAAAAGTTCGAAATAGCAAATTTTCCGGAAAAATTTCCAATGCCCTCAAGAGAGCACGGGCAGATTCAGTGTGTTGATTTGACTTGGATTTAGTAAAACAGGACTCGACAAAGTACCCCGTTGTTCATTTGATGTCCCAATAGCCACATGTATTTGAACTGAAATATTTTACTGGGGGGAGGAATTAAATACAGCGCACCAAGTGTGGTTTAAGTGTTATATTCAAACAAATTCAAAGCTTTTGGTGGAAAGAAACTATTTTTATTGGAATACGTGTAAAAACGTAAAGACAATACAGGCAACCCCCATTTAGAGCTCGACGGGTTCCTGAAAAACCAAGTATTAAGCAAAACCGGAAGTATTTGATGACCCAAGATGGCGACCACAAGTGTTTTAATGACCCAGATGGCAACCGCACATATTGTAACAAAGCTCGCCGAGCGCAAAGCAGAATCAGGTATCAACTTCAGATGAGCGTTATAGCGAAACCGCACTAAGCAGGGGTTACCTGTACACAATAGGATGGACTTCCCTTGCATTATTTGTTTAAATTTAAGACAAAAAAGCAAAGGTATTAAAAACTGTCAACACATTCATTTTAGCACACCCAAAGAACTGTACACGATATGCCGTGCTTCGGTTTTGATTTGACCTGCACAGCCAATTAGGTAAATTCATAACTTGATTTTTGGTTTGGATGATTATGTGAGTGCATTTATCCGCCTGTTCACAAATCAATAAAACATAGATGTACTCTCTCTCGCACTTCCTAGCGATAATCACTTGAACAACATTCATTACAACTTTGAAACTGCCAAGCTTGCCTAATATTGTACTGGCATCCATTCATTGGTACTAAGCTTTTTATGAAACAATTTTTTAAATGCAAAATTTCCCACAGAAAATGAAAGCACTGGAAAATTTTCTGTTTTGGAAAATTTTCCACTACACATCTCTGGTTGGCACTTCTGTTTGTATGAGGGTGCCCAGCAATGAGGTGCGGGAAAGAGATCCCCAGAGATTTGCCCTGTGAATCCAGAGTGTTAACGTGACCCTGCCCGGCCGTGGTCTGTCCAAGTTCTTTGCACCAGAAGATGTGCTCTGTTATTTTTCCTGTGGTCAAAAAAAACAAAGGGAAAGCCAAGAGCTGGTATTTTTGGAGTCGGGTCTCAAGTCTTTAGAGAAGACCTTGAGTCTAAGGTTGAAAACCCTATAGAGAGAGAGAGAGAGCCGGGTCTAGGGCCCCCAACGCTGGTGGGATGCAGCATTTAGAACGGATGGGAGATGACAATGAGCTGCGAAGTCAAGCGACTCCCTCGGTGCTGCCAGATTAGAAATGTCGCTGCCACTGCCAAGCGGTTGGTTTTAAACTGTGGGTGGAGCAGGAACCAAAATGGCAGAGGGGGGGCAAAAGCACCCCCTGGATCTGCCCACATCAGGGGTATATATTTGCAATTCAGACCTCTTTTTACCAGCTGGTTTTACTTGCTCTTGGCCTTGTGGTGTCAGCATGGCCTGCACCACGGGCAGGATGCCACCGCCTTGAGCCATAGTTATGTTCCTCCAGCAGCCTGTTTAGCTCCTGGCTGCAAGTGGCATCTCATCCCCAGCGGCGTTGCCCCTAACCCAAGGATTTCAGCAGGCAGATAATCCATGTAGGGTCCAGCTCCTACCTGTGCAGCATAATGACTTTTTCAGAGCATATGGCCCACAGGAAATAGCAATGCTGCCTGCAAGGATCCAGACTTGGCCTTCACCTGCCCTTTACCTCCCTGCTTTTGTAGCAAGTTTCTTTATAACAACCACCATCCGCTGATTCAGGATGAAAGAATCACCCCAGGCCCGAGGCTATTAAAAGTGCACCAAGAGATTTCTTGGGACAACCAAAGCAGTAACAGGGGCAGGAGCAAGGGTCAGAAGTTAATAATAAATGCTCCAAGGGGAAATCATCATGACAGGCCTGTGGATGTGCCATTCCCAATCATGGGCCAAAGCTCACCAAGTAGAGCTATAAGTCCCCCTTGATGAGGAGGGCTTAAAACTCTAGCTCCCACGGCCTTGTGGGCGCTTCTTTGTGGGAGAAAGACTAAGGGACATCACCCTGATTATAATGTGCCCTTGCTGAGTTAGGCAGTCGGCAGCAGTTTTCATCTGTTCCCTCTGCAGAAGCGACAACCATGGAGGCACTGCGCATCTGGACTCAGTCTGCCTTTGGATTCTGTCTCAATGGTCTAAAGAGGGGCTGGTAGGTCCAGGGTAGCCTCCACCCCTCCCTCGGGGTACGTCTTGAAGGTCCCGGTGTGATGCTCACAGGACTCCCTACAACTGGATCCATCAGGCACCCAACTAGATCTCTTATGCATGCACCATGATCCAGAGGATCAACAGTTGCCTGCCTTGATGAGGGGGGCCACTAAGGGCACATCACTGATTGCTTGGGACAATGAGAGGCCAAAATAGGGACAGGAGCAAAGGTCAAATGTTGGCGCACTGTTCTTTGCAGGGTGCTGCCGGGTGCCAGGCAAGGAGGCCTGCACAAGAGAAACCCAGAGATTTCCCCTAGGAATCCATCGTAGTGTTAAAACTATCCTGCCCTGCTGGGGTCTGTCCGAGCTCTGTGCGACAGAAGAATTACTGTTAGGTTTCTGTAGTCAAGAAACGAGTGGAAAATTAAGAGCTGGCATTTTCCAGGGGAGGCCTTGAGTCTATCAAGGGCTTTCTCAAGGTTGAGAACCACTGCTGTAAAGCATTTGAAAAGTCAGGCTCATCTTGCAAAGGTTTAAGCACGTTCTTAACCTGAAGCATCTTAGTTTTTTCCTCCTGGGCTAACTAGGACTACTTAGGAGTGGTGCTAACGACCACAGCTGTGACAGCTATGGGTGAGAGCAGAATGGTTGTTATGTTTGGCAGAAGAGTCACTGCAGCACCAGAGAAAGCTCTGGGACATTTCTAGCATGACAGATGCTACTATAAAGCTAAATTTTATCTGCCAGCAAAGCTAAAGGGGTGTGGAAAACAATTAGGAAAGAAGAGAGTGATGAGAATACAAACAGGATTCCTAACGAATGGAAACTCGCCCATCTTTCTCCACTTCCCATTTTTATGATTTTTTCTCAATATGAAATTTTGACATCTGTTTTGTTATAAAAATGAATATTAGCTTTATTTATGGAGAATCAAATATAGACAGAATGTCGAGCAAAACATTAATCTTAATTAAATGCATTTTCCATTGTAATGAAGTTTCCACAATTCCTATATAATTAGGGCAAAATATAATTACATTGAAGAGATTCAGTGCTCTTCAGTGAAACCCTTATATGAGAGTACACATGCACACATGCATGTATGCATATACAGGATCCATTTAGTATTAATCAATTTAATTTGAAGCCTCTTCTTGAAATTCCTAATAGTTTAGATTTCCCACACTCCCATAATTGGCTGATAAATCACACATGAAAACGTAAGTGTTTTGGATTTCACTTTGGGTCGGGTGGTGACAAACACTAGTGCTATTACTCACAAATTTTCTTCCAAGTGTCGATCTCCAGTGTTTCTTGCCACTTGCATTTGCTGAGCTTGTCTTTATTGCTGCTGCAACGGGCTCGATTAACAAAATATATAGCAGAGAGATGTGCACATTTTTGCTTTATTTCCTTTTTGCTCTCCAGAACAAAGAGATTTGAAGATATACCCATTAATAAGCAGTTTGTTTGTGCTGTTTAGTGTAATTTAAGAATATCTAGTATAGGAATTTTCCAGAAACTAATTACCACCATTTTTGTGGCTTTAAAATTCAGAGAGCCTGCCGCCACAGAGACTCTTTTGAGACTGAATTTAGATGGAAAAGAATTGTGCGTGTACCTGGCCAGCACTGAATGTGCAGCAGAACTGCTGGATCCATGCCACCCTGAAGTTTGCCTTTTCTTTAGGAGGCAACATGGTCTTACCAAGAACCCACTTTCCTACGTGGGTCAGAAGCGGGGCACAGGAAGATGTCACATCAGCACGCGAGCTGGGACGTTTCAAAGGCCTGTTGAAGACTGGATGGGGATGGGGGGCAACATAAATTAGTGTGAATGATGATGAGTCTGATGCCAGGATGAGTGGGGCAAAACTCTCCTAGATTTCAATGGTGCAGGGGCAAGTCCTCCACTCCTGAAGTCACAAACTGGATTCCACCAGCCTCACGGAAGAGGAGCGGTCTCTCCAACCCCATCGCTCATCCCAGCTGGCAGGGCGTTCAACCCGAGTAAGGATGGCAGAATTGGGGTCTCTCCTTGCAGTGACACAGAACAAGGCAATGACATCTGAATGAGACGTGTCAGTTATTCCCATTTCTACCATCACGGTGCCCACAGGCCCCAAGTGGTGCTGGCTGTGTTACGTATACATAGGATCCTGCTCCCAATTTAAATAAACACCAGGTGAGGGGAGGGGGAACTGAGGCACCAAAGCAATGATGCAATTTGCTATCAATTATACACAAACTTGGCAGGACTCGATTTTCATCAGTAAATGTCGATAAACGGTGGCTTCATTTCACACTCGCAGACTGGTGAAAAAAGTATTCCTGACCTTAATCAAAATGGATAGAAAGGAGATGTAAGGAAAGCAGTGCTGATAGAGGTGTGTGACAACAGGCCGAACAGCCCTACAGAGCTGTGCTGGCTGGAGTTTGGACGGCGACTCCCAGAAACCCCAGGGGACCAGGAACCAAGGAAAAGGAACTGGCCAAGTGGATGAGGGAGCTACGGGTGAGCGGAGCTGGGACGGATGGCAGCTCTGCTGGCCGCAGTCCTACAGTCGTTACGTTTGTTGCGGTGGTGGTTAAACTACACTATAATAATAGTCAACCGTCATTAATAAATTGTTTGCCCTCCACGCTCCTAATTTCACACAATCCTGAAAATTTAAATCGTTAAGAAAATCTAAACAAATACTTAAAACTAAACATTGAGATTATCCGTTGAAATGACAAATAAATACAAATCGAATTCTGCCAAACCTCATCGTGCAGCTGGCTGGTGACCGAGCTAAGAAGAGAAGCCAGGTCTGTGTAGTCTTGGTTAAACACTGTAGCTGCTTGACTGTGCGGTGTACCACCAACTACCCCCTGGCATTCAGCTTGCTATTATAAGTCAGCAACTTAAGCATGCGCTTAAATCTATCCCTACTTAGTGAAGCACCAAGACCAATTCTTAACAGGAAACAAAGGCCAATTATTGTTAATCAACAGTGCTGTGGTGCTGGCTGGGAGCTATAATCATCACACCCCAAGACCAGGTGCTACACAAACACAGAAAAGGAAGGTTCGTGCCCCAAATGAGAAACAACCGGTGGATACAGACAGATGGATGGGGAGTGCAGGGGAAGGAGACAGTCCTGGGGAGCCCAGCTTCAGTAGCCTCAGTGTAGGTAATGGTCTCAATGGGACCATGTACTCTGTTGAATCAGGGCCGGAGCTGGCTGCCTCCAAAATCCGAGATGGGAATGACTCATTCTCCTGGCTGGCTGGCCAGCAGGCTGCAGCCAGAGGATTGCACATTCCTCTAACCGTCTGGTTTTAGAAGTCGCACAGGGTGCGGCTCCCACCCCTCCTTTGGGAGAGGAACTGACAGCAACTTTGCCTCATAGCTGGAACATCTGTTTCCTGATTGCCAGCCGTTCATGTCCTCCCATTACTCCTGGTTATACCCCCGCATGCCACCCCGAGCCGTTCCACTCCTTCCTCGGCTTAATCCCCTCCAGGCTCTTCTACACGGCTGCCACAGCGGTCCTTAGCAGGGGTTTGGCCAAACGATACATATTTAGTTCTTTTAATCTTTCTCCATAAATCACCGTCCTCAGTCCCTCCTCCCATGCAACCTTGCACTGCCTCTGAAATTCCCCAACTGCTTGGGAAGATTTAGTAGCATTTTCAGCTGCTCCAGGGCTAATAATGCAGAGTGTTTGATCTCTAGGAGGGTGGCAGGAAGCGTTAGGGATTTAACGCTTTGAGGTTCTGCCATTTCTTAAGCCAGCTTGATTGTTTTGTTTTAGGTCTTAAGGAGCGTTTCTGCTGGAGAGGAGGAGAACATAACCAGCCACTGGCACCTTAGCTCCTGTGGCCCAGCTCAAGGGCACGGGGGGAGCTTTACCTCCTGAGAGCTAGGATAGAAGGAGGCCACCGAGCCTGCAATGATAGGAATTCCCAGCAGCTACAGGGCATGCAGGAACTTCTCAAAGAAGGAAGACTGTAGCGGTCAAGGATATTCAGGGATACAGAAAGCAAGCTGGAAAGGAGGATGTCTTCCTCCAGAGGCCAAACAGGAGGGGGAGAGGAAGTATGGCCTTGTGATTGAGAGAGACTCTCGGGAGAGAGTGAGGCTCTGCTCCCTCCCCTGCCACTGATTCCCCGTGGGACCTTGGTCATGTTACTTTTAATCTGTGCCTGTTTCTCCCCCTCTCTGTAAAATGGGGACAATCCTTCTCTATTTGCAGATGCTTTTAAACATGCAGGTATATAGGAGACACCAGAATACCACAGATGTACAGAATGAATTACGATGCTGGAAATCAAGAGGTACCTGCAATGGTAGGAGGGTACGAGTAATTGGATTCACAGAGCATGGTAGTCTACTGTTTGAACTAAAAGACCTTTACTTACACAGATGTGGCTTAAAGGGCCTGTAAGATTGAGCAGTGGGGTGAGAAGAGCTTTCCCTTCACTTGAATAACACAGCGAGCCCTTCTGGGGCACAGACAGGATGGAAGAGCTCCCGAACAGAATAAACACACTCAAGTGTTGGTGAACAAACACATGCTGGAAGTGTTATTAGATGACAAACCATGCAATCTAGTGGACACAGATACGACCTGACTGGATGGGCTTCACATCCAGAATCATCCTGGAGCCCGGACATCTGCCACGCCACCGGCTTCGGTTCAGCAAGGCAGAACGGAGCAAATGCTTTTCATATGAACACAAGGAAGGAAAGATTAAAGGAGAAATAGCAGAGGACATCTGCTAGGGACCAGCCCCCCTCAAAGGGGAGTGAACACAGCAATTCCTGGATCTACTCCGATAGTTCTCGAAACTCCAGATCACAGCACTTGGGAGGCATTTTAAATATCCGGACATCTGCTGTGTAACAAATGCAGCCAAATTTTCACGAAGGAGATTCTAAGATAGAAAGACGACAAGTAAAACCTGCTGGAAAAAAATTAAAATCAGAAGAGAAGCCATCCTGAATTTAGCTTTGACTAACAAGACAACAGGGACTGAAAATGTGAGAATAAAGAAAAAGCGGTGCCTGCACTGACAGGCTCTGATTTGACCAGAGTAAGGAATGGGCTCAGTTCAGGGGGTCCAAGCACAGCTGAAGGCCAGGATGTTGCATTTTGGGGGAAGAAAGAAATGAAGGGAGGGATCCTGACACTACTGAAGCCAATGGGCAGATGCCCACTGATTTCCAGTAGGGTTCAGCTCTCACCGTAAGTGAACACAGTATTATAGTAAGCAGCATTAAAACCCCATGTACATACACAAAGAGTGGAAGTGGCAGAAAGGATCAGACCCACAAAGTAGGGAAGTCTTAAACAAGGCAAAGGCACAGTCGTCATCTTGAACAATGCCAGGAACACGGGTGGCCAACACGGTTCCACATGGGAGCTTTCAAAGAATGAGGTAAGAAAATCCTTGCTGCAGTTACTGGAAAAGGAGTAGCAGCAGCAGCCAGAAAACAGCACAAATGAACAGCCCTAGGGGTCAAGGTGAAGGAATAGGACTTTTATTGTTCTGTTTTGAGGAAGTCGTTCTACAGTAACATGAGTACGTGTTAAGGGGAGGGTGAAAAGAAGTGCAACTCAAAAAAGGATGATGCATTTTGAAAAAATCCTTGCTTAAGAGAAATAAGAAGCTGAGATCAACAGGAAATGGATAAGGACCTTACAAAAGAATGAGCACTGAGAAATGTAAGGCTATTTTCTGAACCCACAAACACAAATCAACTGTTCTTGCTGGCAAAGACTGCAATGTAACCGATCTCGATGAGAAAAAAAAGGCTCGTTAGACTGCCTTAGACTTGAAGCTCTTCGGAGCAATGCCTATTCTGTGTTTGCCTAAAACAGGGGGGCTCCAGTCTTGGCTGGTTTCAGGGCAGTGCTGTAATAACCATGATTTATTCATCATGGAAGTGATCTTGACTTGCGTTCTGAGAATGTCATTACTGGGAACAGCACCACACATAAGAGGGGGCTCGGCAAAATGCAGGTAAGTATCACTGGTGGGTTGGAGGGACTGATTGCTGCGCCACATTCGGATCTCAAGGTAGCTAGGTGTTTGTGCAACTGCCCAGCTATAAGCAGGTGAGTAACCCCATTCACTTCCATGAGACTATTGCATACTTCAAGTTAAATAGTGCTTAAGTGCTTTTCTCAGTAAGGGCTTAGTGCAGTGGTTAGGCTCAAGGCAGCCCATGGAAAATGCCAGCTCTTGGCTTGCACTCATTTTTTGACTATAGAAAAACAAGGGAGCAATTCCTCTGGTGCAAAGAACTCAAGAAGACCACAACCGGGCAGAGTTTTCTTGACACTCTGGGTTCCTACCTGAAATCCTTGAGGTTATCTTATGAATCCAGTGTAGGTGTTTGTATACCTGACAGCGCTCACATTGCAGCACTCCCCAGCACCCTTAAAAGGATCTCACGGCACCAAGTGCGCGGCAGCACTCTGGTTGAGAATCACCTGTCTAGAGGCAATGGCTACCTACAGAGTTCACCTAATGCACAGAGGAAAAATCCATCTACAAATATGTGAAGAATTCAAACCCCAAATAATGTCAGGAGAAGACATGTTTGAGGTAGAGGTCTTACAGAACAAAAGGCCGGTATGCAATTCGGCAAAGAGTGATTTAGCTTAAAACTTCTGGGAAGTTCCTGACAGCAAGGGCTGTCAGTCTGTAGAGTAGTGTCCCAAAGGAAAAAAATAAAAGTCTCATTGCTTAGGACATTTAAAAGTAGATCAACCAAGAAAAGGCGGGCACTCGATTCCTACTGAATTGTAATGGGTTTGTGGGTGCCTTACTCCCCTAGGCTCCCCTGAAATTCTCAGATTTAAATGTTCAGTGGAAAATAAACCTGACAGAGATACAGATCAGATAGCTTTCTATGGGGCTTTTACTTCACTGATTCCTATGAGTCATGTAACAAGAAATATTTACAGTATGAGCTATGCAGGCATCTTAGTAAAAAAACCCCAGAAAACCAAACCCTCCCCAATTACAGCACAGCCCATTTTTCAGGGAACTCTAGAGAATTAAGTCACAGATCCAATGCCAACCAAATGTAACATCTGAAACTTAAGAACAGTTACCACTGGGGGCAAAACCCTAATCTGTCAGGCCTGAAAAAAACAAATCACACGAACAGAGCAGATCAAAAATATACATGGGGAAAATATTACAACTGCCAGGATCTGGAATTCAATAAGCAATTCTGCTGAAAGCCTTCCAAGGGAATTTAATAAAGCTTTAACAATGAAGTGCAGGTTACAAGAAGATACATTTATTTTTTGAATGGTTTTGTCTTATCTCCTTGTAAGGCCAGGCAACAATTGACAGCCATTCTGCAAAATGATTTATCAATACTGATATTAAATTTATCCCATCCTGGATGACTTTCAGTTAACAGAACCTCATTTATCAAAAACTTCTTATTATACAAATTAGGGTTGTATCTTCCAATGGTGAAAATGAATTCATGCAGCACTGATTTGGGTTATCTGGATTTGTTCCCATTCCCTATTACAGTCAGATAACCCAAGTACCATCATGTTTCTTGACCTGATGTGTCAAAATCCAGGGGCTGCCAGTGGGTGAAAACTCTGGTTCCACTGAAGTCAGTAATAAACTCCACTGACTTCAGGTGGGGGATTTTGTCCCTGGCAGCATGGTGAAATAGGTAAGCAGGAAAAAGCTATCCAGCTTTCCAGGTCCTTTCCATTGGATACTTAGAACTGAGAGTGCAATTTAAATGCATTAATGCTTTTCTTTATGCAAAATAAATTCTTTTTCTTGATGAAAACAAATAGGACATGAACCATACAATAAAATACACAAAAGCATTCTCTTCTCAAAGGAGGATACATATGTGCTTGACAGCATCTAACTCAGAAGAACAAAATGCTGTCATGCTTGGGCAAGATCCCCACTGAAGCCACGGAGCTTTGCCTGAGACTTGACTGTCAGATGAGGCCCAGGAAAGCATGGGGGAACGAACCAGGAGGTGTCTAAGATCCTCATCCTGCAGAGGTCATCATGATTTTATATTGCAGTAGCACCTAGGAACTCACCCTGGATGTGGGTTTTGTTGCCCTAGGTGCTGTGTAAACTCAGAACAAAAAGACAGCTCCTACCCCAAGGAGCTTTCAGTCTAGATGCATGCCCTTATCTCTACTCGTGTGTGTAGTCCCAGTGGCTTCAATCCAACTACTTGCATGTCTGAAATTAAACGCAGGCATGCGTACTGGCAGGAGGATGGCCTAAGACAGCAGAACATACGCGGACATTTGCAACGAATCCTTTCAGTGTGGTAGCTCTCAAGCAGTTGTAGCAGTGTGTTGGCAAGTCAGCATATCTACTTATCTAGAAGCTTTACATTTAGAACATAGGAGTGCATTGACTGGGTCAGACCCTTGGTCCATCTTGTCCAGGCTCCTCTGTCACACAGCAGCAAAGAGCAGATGCTGAAAGGGAGAGGGAACAGGGTCTGACCAGGGCTTTTTCCATTGTTCCTGTCCCACTTGCAGTCTCTGGGATTTAGGATCTAGGAAGTTCTGATTCAGAGGTCGTGCCCCTCACTCCCATGCTCAATAGCTACCGATACCCATTTCCTCCAAGAATTTGCCCAACCCCTATTTGAACCTGGCCGCCAGCTTCCACCACATCTTGTGGTAACAAGTCTCACACCTGAATTACACTTTTACATGCACAAATAAAATCACTGTATCTGAGGCAAGCATAGAACCGCTGGAAAGAAAAAATCCCCTATCCAAAAGTATTTTTGATACTACAAATCCCACTCAGTTCACTGCAGCATCTGAACATTCATGCAGAAGCAAGAATAAACGCATCATTCTGGTGTATACCACAAATCCATTTTCAGAGGGAGCTGGAAGATGCCACTTGCTTTGTTTTTCATGACTTCACCGGGCCAAGGGGCTGGCTATGCTATGAGCAGGACATTTTTACTTACAACATTTCTCTAATCCACTCTGAAAACTCTCAGGGCTGAGCTTACTTCCCAGTATCAAAATCCCTTGGATAAAATACCTCCCACCCAGGACTCTTTATTTACCAATAACCATTCCTCTAGGCGATGCTTACCATCCAGTATCTTTATCCCTGGGAAAAAGTTAAGCCCCACTATGACAAGCTTCTTCTCCTCTCAGGGAATTACACAGGCATGAACTGAAAAGCCCATTTTTGTTTTCAGAGCTTGCTTGAAGTGACTTTCCATTCCCAAGTCGCTGAATAAACTAAGCAGCATTTCACTGGAGCAGAGAGAAATGCAACCACTGCAAAGGGTCCCAATGCTTCCAACAGATCTAAAGCAATGAGGGAAAGGTTTTGGGAAGCAAAATGTTCTCAAGAGGGACAAGGGAAGGGTGGAGGCTCAGCCAGATGTGAGCGAGCATATTTCAATGAGGCACAGGTGCTGTTCACTTCTGATGCCTCCCCAGTGGAAGATAAGGGCTCTCGGCCCCTTCAGGATCAGGCCTAGAGAACCCCACGTTGCTCTGATGCCCAGCATCACCTGTGGGTTCCACCGCCAGAATCTGGATGTGCTCATGACTGGGATGAATCGTCTCACTGCAAGGTGCTGGGATACGTCATTGCTAGTCATTGCAAGAAAGAACAGGAGAACTGAGCTCAGTGATTTCTTTGCCTTGCAGTTCATCCCAGAGGAGTCTATGTGGATAGGGATCTTTGTGTGTGGAAGTGAGACAATTTGCAGAGTTCTTGCTACCGCAGACGTCAACGTGAATGTGCAGGTTTGGAGAACGGGTGTAGATTGACGTTACTGGTTAGAGAGTTGACAGATTATTCTTGAGCTCAATATTTACTGTAAATAATTCTTGAAATCAACCCAGCCACGTCAGCAATTCATTCCAAGAATAATGTGGCAAGTATCTGACAGGCACGGATAGCTGCCAATGTAGGATCAACCCGCGATGGTACTTATTTTACAAGACATTTTTATTCTATTTCACAGATTTGACTATTACAGCAGTGAAATTATTACAAGTGACTCAACATTTAGGGTCAAATTAAAATAGAAAAAACACAAACACAAAGAAAAGTTACATGTGATGCAATGTGTTTTAAGAACACAGAAAAAATATATAAAAATACGTTTGGGTCAAGAATTTTGCAGACAACTTCTGACTTAGTTACACAGTTGACGCCACTTAAAAAGCACAGTATTTGAAAAGTGTAATTAGAAATGTGATAAAATCCAACAGTATATAAAAGGCAAAAAAATAAAAAAAAATGAAAGGAAGGACAAAGGGGAAACCTCTGTTTTATGGCAAACTTCCAATCCTTTGGCCACTAGAAAGCAAAGTCAGTGGATTTCTTATAAATTCTCTGTATAAAGGAATGTCTATGATCTGTGTGCAACATGGCCCAGAATCGACATCTCATTATCAGGCTAATAGAGTTCCTCATAGAGGACAAGAAGGTGCTTATGTCATGGTTGATTCTTCCCACTATAATACTGTCCGCAATTGGACTAGTGCCCCAAAATCCCATTTTAGGAACGCTGCTAATTCCTTTAATGGCAAGGAAATGCAATGACCCGTAGACTGCCGCGGAGGCAGGGAGCTCGGGCAATGGCTTCACTAGTGCACGCTTGCTTTAGCTTTAAAGTTCGTGTGGTTCACTGGCAGTGGGTGGGCTTCTGTGTTGAATACCCAGTCCTCCAGAGATAGCACATCATCTTCACAGAACAGAAGATAGAGGTACCTGGAGCCCCACGGTGGGAAGAGAGAAAAGGCAGAGAAAGAGTCGATCACAGAAAAGCTCTAATGGGGTTCCCAGTGAATATGTAAGGTCTGATCCTCAGATGGAGTAAATAGGGATAGCTCATTATTACTAGAGCTATATGGTGAGGATCTGACAACGACTACTATTACATCCAATGTACAGCTAAAATGTACTGCCCTGTGCCTGGGAAACTGCAAAAAGGTATCCCAGTCACGTTCCCTCCCCCTTCTGCGGTAGTTTGGCAGATGCCGCATGAACACTCTCGCAATCCTCCACAACCTGCACAGCAGGTAATCAAATGCTTTTTAAGATGAAATTATACTGTATTTTGCATAAAGATGAACAATGCTATGTAGGCCTTCATGCCCCAAGAAAAACGTTATTCTGAAAGATTTCTATGATATTAGACTTACTTCAATGTCTCTGCCAGGAAAAAGCTCTGTTGCATGTTGTCGTGGGTTGGGGTGGTGGTATACACGTCTCGGATACCAGAGTAACCGGCCTCTACTCTACAGTGATTTTCTAGTGCCTGAGGAAGGAAACTAAATCTCAGCAACACACGGCAGCATGGAGTAACCCATTAATCATTATCAGTTGCATTACAAGTCAGGTTTACAAATCAGATTCAGTTTTTATAGCAGCTTCTCTCTCACTGATTATTACCCAGGACTCCAGGAAAATGATAGATCTAATGAAATAGCAAGAGAAATGTAAACTATGTAAACTCATTGACTGACTGACCTTGGTGTTACACACGCATCAGCAATAGATCTCAAGTAGTAACTCTTTACGTTTATAGAGTATCTTCCCAAGACACTTGCAACTGATAGTCCAGCCACTGAAACGCAGTCTCTATGGGTATTTGTGCATGTTTGTGCTGCGGTGCCAGGAGCTTTTAAAAGCGCCCGGAGCTGAGGTGCATGCATTTGTATAAATAGTAAAATACATGACAGCGGTGAGAAAATGGCGGCAGCGCACTTTTGAACTAAAACACATCAAAGGTGTTTTAGTTCAAAAGCACACCATCACCATTTTCTCAGCACTCGCGCATTTCACCATTTATACCAATACATGTGACACAGCGCCGGGCACCTCAGCTCGCATGCGAAGCAAACTCAATTAATCCAATGTGTCGAAGCAGACAAATCTAGGTGTAGAAACGCCCTATATGGTATGCAACAGCAGCCAACTGGCCATCACACAAGATAACAGAGCTAGGTGGGGGGCCACGCTGGCTGGAAAGTCTCCTATGGAGGGGGGTGCAGCTTGTGTCCACACAGCACAAGCAAGACCTTGTCTCAGTCAAACATGTCATAGAAAGCTCACAGATCTACCTTTATAGGATGAAGACTGATAAATATGAACCTGTGGATTCAAGCAATCTACACGTTTTGGAAGTGTGGCTTAATTCTCTGGGGAGGGAAGGAGTATGGGGAGCAGATTGAGACCCCTGTAGTGAGGGAGGGAGTGGGGCTGGGGCAGGGGCTGCACAGGGGGATGGATGGAGCCACGAGCAGCTTGACCAGGGGGCGAAGGGGTCGGGGGGGCTCCTGCTGCTGCACGCACCCCTGGACCTGCATGCAGGGCAGGGTAGATTGCCACTGTGGGTTTGAGACAGGGCAGTGCTGAGCTCTCCCAGCACCACCAGCGCCTGTCCCCAGTGCAGCGTGGCCCAG